AGAAAATACAAATTTAACGCTGACATCAGAGAAAGATTCTGTTTTGTTGTAAGAACAAAAAGCAAACAAACATTTTCTTGTAAGGAACAAAATGTTGACCTCTGCAAATTTGGGAAGACTTCAAGAAACAACATAACTGTGGGGAAAAATGTGCAGGGCAGCAGAATAAAGCCATATCTGACCTCTAAAGTCTGACTCCTGTGAGCCTACACAGCTCCATCCCCCTCCAGACTCCTCACACCTCCCTTGACACTTACACATATCTCACAAACCAACAAACCCAACAACATAAAAATAAGTATCAGACCAATACAAATACTATATTTTATCCAAAATCTCTACCATTCATGAGTCACTGTAAATGCATATGCCCCCTCACATTTGTCAGCATGCCAAACTGCAAAGGAAAAGTAATTGCTGAACTGGATTGGGTGAGCACATTTCAGCCAACTTAAAAAAAAAAAACAACAAAAAAAACCTTAAGAGAGAGAGTTCAACAGAACAAGTCAAAAATTCATCAATCACACACAAACTGAACTTTATGAATGTATTTAAAGTTTTCCATGCGGTCTGCAGGTCACACATTTTAACCACACAAACTGCTCCCTGAAACCTTCAAATAATCAACATTGCGGATTCTTTCCTATGTGCTAATGCATTGCCCATGAGCCACATTTTACTTCGTAAAGTTAACGAAAGACTCCCACGGGCTTTTGTTACCAACAGTTACAGAAAAGAACTTTTGTGGAACAGCAATGCAAATTTTATCAATGTAAAGTTTAAGAGTTGCAAAAACAATATAATAAACAATTACAGCTTTCTAATGAGATTTTTCATGGTCAGACATACCTCAGACATTTCCAGACATGACTAAACTCTAAGATTCCCATTTCCAATTAACACATGCGTGTTACCCCAACAAACCCTTCCCCCTGCACAAAGCCACTCAGCATGAGATTACTGCAGAATCTGATGGTCTTCAGTAGAATATTTGGCTTAACTCCAGCTCCACCAGCCTTCATGCTTATTTTTATAGGCACAGCCTCCAGCTTTGCACTCTAGTATGTAACACAACACCCAAGTCTATTAAACTTTCCACCAAATACACATAAAATTGAACAACAGGTCAATGAAGCCACAGTCTGTTCCCTCCTCTTAGAAGGGAACTCATTGACCTGTTTGTACCATGGCATGAAACTTTGCCAATGTTTTTGAAGGGTTTACAGCAAACGTGCCTGGGATGATACAAAAGGAGCATCAGAGGATGCAGATCTAAATGCTTTTGTAAAGGGAGCTCTTATGGAGTAGATCTAGAGTTTCAAAGGGGCAAATGGAGCTGGCACTGAGATCTCCAACATCAAACATAACAACTGTGAAAGAGACTAGAAAAGGCAAAAAATCTTCTAGTGGAATGAGCCCAACTATCTTGTCATCTTTGGCTGTGGGGAGGGCAGAGATTTGGCATTGTTCACTGATGGCTCAATCTGACTCTCACATTTCATAGAATCACAGAAGAGTTTGGGTTGGAATGAATATTTAAAGGTCTGTAGTCCAACCCCCACTGCAGTGAGCAGGGACATCTAGCTCAACTAAATCAGGTTGCTCAGAGTCCATCTCCATGGTGACCTTGAATGTTTCCAGGGATGGGGCATCTCCCTGGACAGCCTATTACTATGTTTTACTATCCACATCATAAAAACAAAAATAATCTTGCTTATTATCTAGTCTAAATCTACACTCTTTGAGCTTAAACCCAATATTCCTCACCCTGTCACAACATGATTTACTGAAGAGCTTGTGCTCATCTCTCTACAGGTGCCCTCTGTGCGTTTACCTACACCAAGACTGGCTGACACGACCGCACAGCATCTGGCCAACCTCACAGCCTATTCAAAGCTATCCACGTTACAGGTCTCATTCCTCACAACAAACCCTTCTGAAGGATACAACTGCAACTCCCTTTTAAAACTAACATATGCAGCACAGACAGAGCCTTCAGTCTGCAGGAAACAGTTTAGAAAACCATGTTGGGTAAGCCTGGTTTGCTGCAGTTTGACTTCGTTCTTTAAACTTGGACACAGCTTCTGGCAATGCCTGCAGTGGAACACTGACATGAGGGCTGAACTTAAGCCCACAGCTGAGCCACTGAAGGACAAATCCATTCCTACTGCCCTCTGAAAGGATCCTGAGAGGCCAATTTCTCTGTGTAGCTTGTTGGAGCAGCAGAAATCTGCAGTCTTGGTTAAGCACCAGCAGCAGCTCTTGAATAGCCCAATTTTGTTTCCCCAAGATGCAAACTACAGATTTTACATGGTAAAACAAGCCCTACTTCCAGGTGTAACAGAGGCTCCATTGTCCTCATCAGAGTCTAAAACCAGAAATGCAAAGTGGAGCTGCCATGAGTGGTGGCAACAAGGAGAAGGTAGAGAAGAGCTTGTACTTGAAAATTAACATGGTTGTTACAGTGAGCACTATTCCAACTGTTACTGTTTTACAAGTTTTCTAAAATATGCAACAGAGGCGTGAAAATTTGCAAGACAGCAAAACTCGGCTGATATGGAGAGAAGACAATATTCCTCAAGTGGTTTGGTAAATAATCACAAGATAAGTGCCTTGCATTCTTGGTAGCAGCATGTGGCACAGGCATGAACATCTCTTTTTCTCCACCACTGTATGTAGTGAAAGTTCTAATACTTGCAAAGATCTGCAACATTTGGCCTTCATACTGTGGATTCACACACAGAGCTTGTAAGACCTTGAAAAAACAGGTTTTCCCACCTGCAAGCCAAAGGATCCTACATTGCTAGGGTAATGTGCCACCTGGTATCAACTACCAAAGCACGTAATACAGACAATTTCATTGCCCATGAGTGTCAGGTGCAGCATAATCAGAAACTGGTAGAAATACAAACTTCTCTGTCACCATCTCAAAGAACTGTGTGTTTGAACACACATTGCCAGCTAGCTCAGAACAGCAGACAATTACAAAACAAAACATCTCAAAGAACTGTGTGTTTGAACACACATTGCCAGCTAGCTCAGAACAGCAGACAATTACAAAACAAAACACTCATTTGCCATTAAAACATCCCATTTTCTTTCCAGAAAAAACTATCCAGTCTGAATTAAGCAGAAAGATGTAGTTGACAGGAAGAAAAAAAAAAAAAGAAACCAAAAAGCCCCCTTGAGAAATCCACTCCCATAAGATTTATGGCAATCCTTCATAAGAAGCTGCACAGTCCAGGGTGCCCTCACACAACAGGTTTGCATCTTTAATGCTTTAAATAAAACTTCCAAGTATGACCCAAAGATTGGACTGGGTGCTACTGCCTCCTTTAATCTCCAGGCAAACAGCTCTCTTTCCTTTTCTTTTTCTTCATATTTTCTTAAGTTAAATGGAATGAGGTGATTCAGTATCATCCACTGTTACTGTAGGCATCAGGAATAGAATATTAACCCTAAAATTTATGTGGATCATGTTAAGTACACAAGCCACTGACTGGAAAAAAAACCCCTGAATCTCAGAAGAGGCAGCCACTGCAGTTGTTGACAATGTCGGATTTACCAGAAGCAAGATGAAAGAGCAGAAAAGAGAAGTCTGATATCTACTTGCCTCTATCAACATCCAAGGGTTATCCATAGGGAACAGAACCCATCTTCAAGGAACGAGAAAAATTTAAGACACAAAGATTTGCAAATGTAACTCTCAAAGGTATAACAGAAGTTTAAAAACAACAACAAAAAACAAAAGAGTTAACTTTTTTAACCATTGAGGAAGAAATGTTTCCACAAATATACATTGTTTAGGTTTCATCTTCAACAAGGTTTTCATGGATACTGAGAGCCTTTTCTTAAACTAATTTTATTGTTTAATTTGTCAGTACAACCTGAAGGAACAAATTGATGGAGATGATACAATAGCAGTTAGGAGCAACAGTGTGTTACCTACATAATGTCTCCAGAAAAGGGAGCAAGCATGGATGAACGAGAAAATTGTTTGAGATGTGGCAGACAATGGATAGCAGAGGTACAAAAGCACAGACTATAACTAAGAGACAGAAGAAGCAAACAAAAATAGCACAGATCCTCCCATACCTTCTCCTTTCTGTTTAATGAAACCATGATGGTTCAAATGCTTAGCAAGAATGAAAAATAGAATGCTAAATTATAATTAAGTACAGAACACCTATTTGATTTTAGTAAGCTGCAGACACGATTGCTTGCAGATCATAGATATACTTTGGCTTAAATATTTAGGCTTGCCAGCAGCCTTGGAAAGTCTCTACAAACCATTAAATTCACACAGCCTAAGCAGTATAACAGATACAATACCGTGCACATTTTAGCAAAAGTGGAACAAAGAGATGAAGCAGGAAATGAAGGTTTAACTGGAATCACCATTTGCCTCTTCATTCCCTGCCTGTGTTTCAACTGCCAGTTCACAACATCTCTCCTACTGATCATCACTCAGAGATTAATATGCCTGAAGACTTGGATTGCTTCCACATATATCCAAGCTCACTGTATTTAGTTTAAAATCCAACCATTTAATAAACACAACCTTTTTGCAAATCAAAGATAGTAGACAATATTTAAGTTACCCTTAGCATATTCCAAGCATGCATTGTTTCTGCTTCAGCAGAAACATCCTGAAAGTGCCTCCCCTGTAACTGAATTATTTATAACTGCAATGCCCTCTAACAACAGGAGCATCAAAGTTACTGTCAGCAGCAGTTCTGGAACTGTTCTTTATGATAATCAGAGGTCCCCCATGTCGTGCAATGGGAAAAAAGAAAAAAGGAAAAATATCCCAGATGGGAAAGATCAAATGCAAAGAATGCAGTACAGGAAAGACTACAGCACAAGTAAGGTTTAAAACATCCCTAATACAATAGATAATGTTCAGGCACTGAGTCTGTGTGTATCCTTAAAAATAAACACATATCTTAAGAATGACAGCACAGCTCCCCATAGGATGTTATTACTTAACATATACTCACATAAACCTCATTGTGATCAAAGCGCTTCTTCAGGTTATTGATGAAGGAATCTTCATTAAGTGGCTCTAGGAGAACCATATCTCCCACCCCTATCATGTCGTCTAAAAGCGATGTCTTGACCTCCATTTTGGCCATTTTGTCCTGGGAAAAACAAAATAAACAAGATTATAACAAACACCAAAGGTTAGCCCAAGGTTTTTAGAATTATTCACAGGCATTATCTTGTAACACTACTTCAGGAATAAAAGTTAAAAGAACACCACATTAAAATTGTGTTTTCAAGGAACATTCTCAGTCATTGCATCTATCCAGGTAGTCCACATGATTCTGAAATTTAACTTAAAATAGTCAACAATGCCTTCTGGTCCACTATACATGAAACTCCTAGAAACAGGAATGAAGATTCCAGTGGGCATCCCAACCAGAGTATTTGGATAACTTCAACACAATGTTTGAGTGCATGCAAGTCTGTGTTTTATCAAAAGCCTCATCAGGATCTCCAAACTAGGGTTTAAATTTGTCAATAACCCTAATCTCAATTTCTTTTTCACCTTTACTTGCATTTTTTCAACTCCATTAATACTGAAATGGAAACCAACTTGTTGAACCCACTCAGAGACAAAAAACACAGTATTTGATCTTAGTTCATGAACCCTGGGCTCTGAAGTGCCTGTATTCCAGTACAGTGCTGGTATTGGCTACATGAAGCTACCAAATTTCTTCATTTACCTGTAATTTTGTTGCTTGAGAGAATATTTTCATGGGGCAGCAACAATCCAGCTGACAACTGGAGACACTGAATCAATATAACCAAAGTGGCAAAAGCCAGAAGCTGGGCTTGAACAGGGGATCAGGATCAAACAAAACGAAGTAAGCAAGTCTGATAAAGGAAGTCATTTAGACAAAGAAGCCAAGGTCAGGCTAAAACTTGGCACTTATTTGATCCTCCCAGCCTTTTGTCCCTCCAATTCAAACGCTGGAGATTACTGAGCTCCTCAAGAACTCTGGGCACACAGTTACTGCTTTCAGCTTTCGTGAGGAGGCTGAAAACTGGACAGACTCGCAGCGGCAGCCGGCAAATAGAGCCAGGAACCAGAGGTGAGAGAACAGCTTTGCTGACCACACAAACCAAGGACCAGCTACTGCACAGCTACACAAAGCACAGCTCAACTTCACCAGTCAGCTGTCACCTCCCAGCTACAGAATGCTATCAGGCTGTCCTTGGTCCCGCCTACCACTGCTGCACATTTTAGTTCTAAATACTTTTCCTTGTTTCCCAAAATGCCATTGAGCAGCTACTACTTATGTAATCAGTGCTACCTTGCCGTGGTACCTCTCCATCAGATGACTAATTTAAAACAAGCAAAGCCTTTTACCTCTCCCTTCTGCCTACTTTACAAAAATTTATTTGATGTTTTTCATCAGTGAGTGACGTTTGAGGGATTTCAGATCAAGACTTAAGTCTGGCTTGATGTTTTTCCAAATTCAACGAAGAGAAGCACAGCTCCACAGGCAGCTAACAAAGCGATACAAAAAGATCCCCAAAACCTGAACCAAGCCTGGGAATTACTAGAAATTCACATGGAAATGCAAAAACAGTGCTGAACTATGGTAACCAACCAAAGCTGAGTCAACTCTGCTAAACAAACAAAAGCGCATTTATTTTAAACAGAAACACTGGACAAATATTTTTGTAGAGAAAGAGACTTTCATTCTTAAAAGTTCACCTCTCTGAATCACCAAAAAAATTTTAAACATTTGTAGAATCTTTTCAGAGGTATCACTTCAACTTCTGCATCCTATTAAGACAAATTCTTTAAACTACCAATCTTGTTTCAGTGACCTAATTACTTCCCATACATCAACTAATGCTCAAATAATGTTTGAAGGCTGAAAAAATAAAGCCTTTCTAAAGTATGGAACATATTAAATAATGGGTTTGTGGCCAAATATATTAAAAAAGGCAACACAAAAATTCTAAAAAGGGCAATTTAAACCTAGAATTTAAGTTCTAAGTACAATACCTCATTTACCATTGTGAAATTACATACCACCTACCACACTTCATGCATCACTGCTTGGGAATTTTGAGAGCAAGAGCAGCCAAACCTATCAAAAACATCCATGTATTCCCAAAGTGGCATGTTTTGCAGAAGAGGGATAGGAAGACACTATACTTTTATAAGCTGGATCAAAGCGTTGTATACATATATTGACTTATCAATATATTGGAAAAGTTCAATTTTATGGTCAAAGGCAAATTTTCAGCTTGTTCTTTTCCACAAAAATTTACAGCATTCCATGACTGAAATATTTTTCATTAACTTGTGAGTTAGAAAATACTAGAAACCCTAGTTTTGGTGAAAAAAATGAACAGGCTGAGACAAATTATTTAACACTGATTGCTCAAAGCCATTTTCAATAGTCTAGCCTTTGCAACAATTCATCAAAGATCACCTCCTGCACTTACATATGATTCAAGATTATTCTGCCATACCAGCATTGTTAGCCTTTGCTTTGGTGGAATCCAATCATAATCCCTGCTCTGGTTTAGCTAACAAAGGAAAATCCAGCCTGTGGGAAAATTTGGTTGTCTATCTGAGGTAAAAAATGGAGGAAAAAAGCACTGCTAAGAGAAAACAACCATGTTTAAACATAGAGTAATCAATTAAATAGGACTTAATAACTGAAATTAATCTACTAGAAGAATACAGTAGATGATCAATATATAGCACTTTCAAAATACCAAATGCTAATTTTAGAAGTAGCTTTATAAAAAATGTCAAAAATCAGCACACTACACAGGAAAAAAAAAATCAAACCCTTGCAACATTACATGGCTAAACATCAGAAAAAACCCAGAAACTCAATCCAAATCCATGTCCAAGTATTTACCATATACTCAGATGCCTTGCAGCTGTTAATATTTCCCATCAGCATTCCCATTCCCATGCTGACAGCGTGCTCACCACAGTTTGGAGAGCACTACATAAAAGCAAGTGGCTTCTACTTTAGCTGTATTTGTATACCTTTAAAAAGATGAATGCTTCTCAAGAACCATTTTCAAGAACCAGATCTATGAGAAGGATGGGACCAGAACCTGCTCCCACTGCCCAAGGAATCAGGAGGATCAGATTCTTCCTTCAACATTCCTTGGTCTCATCCATACCCATTTACCACTTTAGGCTTCTCCTAAATTTACCCTCTTGTCCCTAAAGGAAAGATCAGCAGCACTTCAAAACACCTCCTTTTTCTGTAGGCAGTTGTCAAATCTGTTCTTCCTCCCTTTGGTCTTATATCTAAGCCTTAATTCAATGGAGTGAGAACATTTGCAACGTGTTTCAATACTCAGGAAAAAAATAATTTAAACGCCTATTCAGTAATCCTTCACAGTTTGATCTGTTTTATGTTGGACAACATGCTTGGGAGGAGAAGTGCTGGGCAGGCTATGTCTTTAAAATGCTTTTATCCACAAACTCCCACGCCACACAGAGCCTTTTAAAATACAGACTGTTGTATCCACTGCTTGCAGTGCCTGGGATTGCCATCCAGCCAGGCCAGTTGAATCTAAAACCCTCTTGCCCCTTTTGGGCACAAGGACGGCAAATTAAAAACCACAGCGTCCCACAGCCACAGCAACCCTATCACTGGCCATTCTGAAACAAGGGTTAATGACAGCTATAAATAGAAGAGAATGCAGAGAATAGGCAAAACCCCCAAAGCCTCGCACATTTAAATGCACACATTCTCTACGGGGGAAATGAAGTAATGCCCTGTTATTGGCATACAGCACGGTACGGAATTGTCCAAGGTTTTCCACATCACCCTCCAACAGCAGAACAGCAACAATTGTCAGCAGCTTCCTACAGCTGTGCAGTCCTTAGGTCACTCTTAAAGAGTTTGGTGCTCTGGAACTATCACTGTCTGCAGAGGTGGCTTGTTTTTTTCTTTCCAGGCATTGTAGCAAGAGGACAATTTCCCTACTATCAAAACAGACACGGATGTACTCATGTATGCTTCAAGCTCTGATTATTTAAAAATTAAAAACAAAATTTTAAAAAATTTAGAAAAAATAATTTAAAAAACACCAAGCCTTTGGTTTCACGGCAACCACTGTAGATTTTTCTTTTATAAGTCTTAACAGGGAGAATGTGCAACATCAGTAATTCAGTAGTGGAGTTCAAACTGATTTCATGTGCCAGGTCTGATCCTGAGCCCCTGTCAGGCTGTAATTATGCCTGCCCACCCCTTCCCAGTTTTCTCTGTCCAGGAGCAATCATCAGCCCACACAGAGTGGGGACACTGACAGGCCACTGCAAAAAGCAGCCAGGGATACAATGTCATTACTCGAACAAAACAAAACCAAGAGGGGCCGCAACCATCATCTCCTGCTGCTGCTCATGACAAGCCTAAGCACTAATTTAGCAAGAGGCAGGATTTAAATTCATCCTGTTCTGCTGCCCAGCAAACCTTGTGACTCACCAGCCTCTGACTGATGCCCCAAAGGTGCAAGTTCATTGGAAACACCCTGTGCTGGCTCTCCAGGCAAACCCAAGCAGACTGCAGCTGAACTGTTACAATGCCCTTTTCACTCAGAGCTGCATTTCCCGACATCAGCATGTGTGAAAAAACGTTGAGATCATCCAGAGGAAACCCTTGCTTTCCCTCCAGACCCCTCCCATCTGCTGCCTGGCCACGGTCTGCCAGGAACACCTGCACCCTCCTTCCCAGCTGTGACTGCTCCCAGTTGTTGCTCTGACACATCCATGCCCTGTGGAAAGGCACATGCAGAAAACAGGTCCATGCTGCAGCCCACCACTTTGTCCTGCAAGAAGATGGACTTGAGGAATGTGATGGACAGATTGCAGGATTGGAATGTTAATAGATATTGCAACATCAGTAAAAGCATTCAGAGAACTAAAATGCTTCCTCTGACTATCTTTCCCTTTGGTTTTGCCAGTGTCTGAATAGCTTCTGAATTCCTTTCTTTCTCGCGGTCCTACTGAACAAATCAGTATTTTCCAAACTGAAAAAGTTTATCATTCAGACCTTTTGAGTTAGCTAATGTTTCTCTCATCTTACCTACCAAGCAAGAGCTGTTATTTGAAGCCTTGTGCAACATCTCTTAAATTTCCGTGGGC